TTATCCTAATTAGGGTTTAGGGTCAAACTCACCGGACGTCCTAAGCTTGAGACGGCCAAACACGCGATGAAAAGGGACTGGGCAGCGGCGGTCCCTCGCCGGAACAGTAACGGCGGCGGCGGAGCTCCTCCGGCGAAGAGCCTTCCACGGCCAAAACAAAGAGGAAGAGAGGGGGAAGGGGGCTCACGGGTTGGAAGGGAGAGGGGGCTGACCGGCTGAGGTGAGAGGAACGGCGGCTCACGGCGGCGGCACCCGAGACGGCAGCGACTAAGCGCCCGCGAAGACGCACGGCGGCGAGAAAAGGGGGGCGAACCGGTGGTGACGGGCAGCAAGGCGACGGCCGGGACGATGGCGGCGACGCCTAGGTGTCTGGGCGGCCTGGGAGCTGGCCGGACGACCGGACGACGGCCGGGAATCGCGGACACGGCGGCGGAGCCGAGGCTCGCGGGCGGGGAGGAGGGAAGGCGTGAGACGGAAAAGCCGAGCTGCCAGCGACGGCGGCAAGCTGATTGACTGACGAGGAGGACGGCGCGTCGGCGGGGCCTGGTAGGGTGGCGTCACTCGGGGCGGAGCCGGATGGGCGGTCGGCGAGTGCACGAAATAGCTGAGCCGAGCAGAACGGCGTAACCAGGGCGAGTTCGGGAAGGAAGAAGGAAGAAGCAAGAAGAGAAAGAAAGAAGAAAAGAAAAAGAAAGAAGGAAAAGAAACGAAGAGAGAGAGAGAGAGCAGGTGGGAGTGGGTGAGCTGAGGGGACGTGGGCAGGGGGAGACGTGCGCGGAGAGGACATGCGCGGCAGAGGAGAGAGAGAGAGAGAGAGAGGGAGAGAGGAAGAATAAAAGAAAATATTTGAACATTCAAATATTATTTGCAATCCGATGGCCCAAATTAAAAACCGAGAGTGGTTTACCGGTCCAAAATAAGTCTCGCACATAAAAAGGGACAAAGGCCAAATTAATTAGACCAAATCATAACGAGGGAAGTTTACTAGTCCAAATTCGCACGTGGTCAAAAACTCCCCTTTTTCCATTATTCCTGACAATCTCAACGCTGGTCACAACAATATCGACACCGTCTAATTTATTTTGTCCCGAAACTCCCGGAAATCGACTGCCAAGTTCGGGATCCAAATAACGGCCAAATTTGATCGAATGCGATTCTAGCGAAATCTCTAATTTAAAATGATAACCGGGAGTGATCAGTTCCCGGGCGAGATTTTACTATAAGCACACTGACAAATTACGCGTTTTATAAATCCCAAAAATGGGCCGAAATTCGGGATGTCACATGGTCAATTCTGATGTGAAGGCATGTGAATGGCCATTGCCATCTCAGACAATCTTTGCTCCACCTTCCTCACCACTTGCCTGCCATCAAACTCGTGCTCAATCAATGGCATTGTGTTCGAGTCGAGGTAGTGCAAGAACAAGACCATGAAAATGGAGCAAACAAATATTGGTATTGGTCCGAAGAACCAGAGAAGCAAGTTCAGAGCAAAGTACAGTGCTCTGAGCCCAACGGACCAGAAATCGCCGCCTCGGATGACAGCCACCTCAACGCTCTTTGGAGGGATGCTTGCGCTCGGTGTACTCATCAGGTAATTGGCATGGACGAAGTGCCGGGCCGATTGGATGAAGCATGAGAAGGCAAGGAGGAAGCACATGAGGAGGCTGATGTACTTGATGGAGAGGGTGGTGGCCTGGGTATTACCATAGACGAGGTCGCTTTCAAAGAAGTTGTTGTTGGTGTTGCTGATCCAAGCGCCGATCAGGGAGCAGAGGGTGAGTGAGAGGGAGGCCAGGAACGTCGCCGCTGATATGTTGGAGGAGATCACCCCAAGGCACGTGCCAATGTCCCTCTTGTCACCCTGCAAGATTGCATTGTGTTAGTAATTTGAGCTTTGATTGATCTGAAGTAGAACAGAAACAGCACAAGCACCCGAATTGATTAAGTTTTGGCTCTTTTGGCAAGGACCCTTTTCGTGAATTTCGTACAAAGCTGATTGCACGACTAGTTATTCAATAAGGCCGACCAATCAGAGGACGGGCCACTGAGTATATAGTTTTTGACAGTCCCATGTGTGGGAATCAGGGGAGTTTGAATTCGATTGCGCTCTTGGGCAATCATTAATTGATCAAGGAAAGTACAGTGGACTAAAATTAAACTGAAAGGAGAGAGACTTGACCTGCATGATGGCCTGAACCCAGAAGCGCTTGTTGAAGTTCTCAAACCCCATGACAGTGGTGTGAGGCTGATGGAGGTATCTGTAGAGGAGTCGGAGATGGTACACGAACATGATGAGCAAGCCACTCGGAACCAGCAATACATCCAGATCTTTCTTCTCAAACCCCATTCTTTTGCTTAGAAAATATTGTTGATTAAAGAACTGAGTTCTTGGGGAATAAATGATAGATTTGGGGGTTGTTTAAATAGTTGTTTTGGCATCATTGACTTTTATTGCTAGGCGGCTGGCTTATGCAAATTGCGAGTTTTTCTTGTTTTATATGTGATTCATGTTGGACTCCCAGTTCGACTAGGATAGGCACATGTTCCATATGAACATCACGATTCAAGATTCTTTCAAAGATGGACATCCTAGTTGATCGGTTGCCTTTAAGGAATGTGGTCTTGCAACTTGTGGTGGACGAGTTTGAAGTTACGTAGTAACGGTCTCCGGATATGCGCATGTTACCGGTGGTAGGTTGGACCTGAAATATCACCGCTCATAATTCAATATATCTTAAGAAAATTGCAATTTGGAACTCCAATTCCTTTTTGCGGCACCTACATCACAACTCAATCGAACACCAAAATTAATGTTTCTCGCGTTTCCAAAGGTAAATGTCTTGTTCATGTTCTATTAGAAGAAGAAGACGCTCCCTGAAAAAATAAATTATGCCTTACGTAAAGTTGCCATGAACAAGGAAGCCACAAATAATGCAACTATGAATCTCGGATATCATATCTATATATGATGTCTATAGGGAATTATCAGTATATTGCCTAATATAACTAATATAATTGTTTATTATAACTTATAGATGAGTAATTATGCAAAGCATATCAGAGGTTGATCGTACTCTGGCAACATTACATAAGGCCAAGTTTGGAAGCAAGAATACTCTATCTACGTAAAAAATGCCATTTATCGGTAGTGGATCGTGTATCAACATCGACACGGCCAATCTAGTTCCTAGAATATGATTAAATTATATGAGTATCAGATTTTAGTTAATATAGTCCTAGGATCGAAGTTGTCTTACTATACAATGAAAAGTAGGCTCAGAAGCATACAAAGCGGCCCATGTACCGTGGTCATATCCTCATATGCGTAAAACTCAGCTTAATTATTATATCAAATTAAGCAGGGCAAGTCTTTTCTTTCAATTAATATTTTTTGTCATCAAGTAAATTATGAATGTGAACTCATACAGATAAGATCAGACAGAAGCCAAAGACGAAGAATATTCTTATTTCAGCTCCCAATTACGGAGTTTACTCAAATAAGACACAATATCTCATCCCATTTTAACATCTAGTGGGGCAAGCTCAAGACTTGTGGCAGTCCTTGATCAAGCTCAAGATAATGAATCTTATATCATGTTGGCCTGAGTTTTGCCAAAACTCCCTGCATTTTCTTTTCTTTATTTTGGGTTATTTTTTATAAAGAGTGACATGATTTAACTGTGTTTGATCCATCTTAGTGTGGACAGCATCCAAAATACGACCAAATAATCAATTTTATCTCCATTATATGTCCTCTTCTGAAGAAGCCTTCTTATTGTTGCAAATTTCAGACGAGCTGTTACGTATTCCCTTTTTAGTTCCACGTATCGGAGCGATTAAGTCATGCCATATCAAGTCTAGGTAATAGTGGGTTCTGACTAAGGAACGCTTTGTTGGTCTCAAAGAATAATATAGGAAAGCAAGTCGTTAACTGATATATTAGAAATGTGTTTCAAGGTTCTACTGGATTGAGTTGTTTAGTCTCACCTATCTTGTATGCTTAAAAGGTGATCCTGGGTTATTCAAATACTTCTTTGGTTGAGGACATTTGGATCAGCACCTCGGAAGGTCTCTTTAAGGACAGGATCATACACTACAAAAAAAGTTGGTTTTAGCGACGAATTTTGCCACGAAAAATTTGGCAAAATTCGTTGCTAAACTAATTTGCGACGAAATTAGCGACGGAAAAAAATTCGTCGCTAATAGGCCGTCGCAAAATTTTGCGACGGAAAATTTCATTTTTCGTCGCAAATTTGCGACGAAAAAAACTTCGTCGCAAAATTCGTCGCTAATTATTCGTGGCAAAATTCGTGGCTAATTTGCGACGAAAAAAAATTCGTCGCAAAATTCGTCGCTAATTATTCGTGGCAAAATTCGTGACTAATTTGCCACGAATTGTATTCGTGGCAAAATTCGTGGCTAATTTGCGACGAAAAAAAATTCGTAGCAAAATTCGTCGCTAAATATTCGTAGCAAAATTCGTTGCTAATTTGCCACGAACTGTATTCGTGGCAAAATTCGTCGCTATTTTTTTTAAAACTTTTTTTGTTGGTCGCGAAATTGCGACGAAATATTTTCGTGGCAAAAATCGTTCTTAATTATTCGTGGCAAAATTTATCGCTAATTTGCGACTTAACACATTTCGTGGCAAAATTCATGGCTAATTTGTCACCAATTTTTTTTTTGTCAGTTTTTTGCAACGAACTTATTCGTGGCAAAATTCATGGATAATTTAAATTACCCACCAAAATGAATGTATTTCATTTTCTTATTCGATTTTAAATGTAATTTAAAGAAAAATTAATTTCTAGAATTTGTATTTAACATTGATTAAGCACTTAATAACATCAAAATATTATAATAATATGAAAATGAAATATATTCAGCTACATTTTCCATGTACTTGAACATATAGCTCAATGTCATCAAACTATTATAATAATATGAAAATGAATACATTCATCTACATTTTTCATGTACTTGAACATTAGCTCAATTTACTTAAACATCCTTGGCAAATCTCCCCCTCCGCATATCAACACATAGCTCAATGTACTTGAACATAATCCTCTCAAGGGTATTTTGCCATGCTCGGGATCTCTTCGAGGTAATAAGATCGTGAAGTTCTTGCAGAGCATCTTGCTTCTTCTAGGATCCATGCAGAGCATTTTCTGGAATCCAGCAATTGCATCAGTGATAAGAATGCTGGATTGGCAATTTAATATCACTTCATACATTTCATTACATTGGTTCAGGGCACCAAAGGAGACATGATCTCGACCCTCATCTACAATTTTTAGTAGAGGATGGTCCATTACCAAGGATTGGCCACAAAGCACTACAATTATTAATTTGCGGTCAGGTCTTTTATGGCAACAAAGCACTACATTATCAACCCCCAAATCCATCATTTCCTAAGTCTTGCACAGTAGGCACATTGGCCACAGAGGATAGAAAAGAATCAGAGACAACGAATCATAATATAACAGATAATTTGCAACTTATGATGGGAGAGTATTGTAACATGGTAGCAGCCAACACCCCTTACCCCCTCCTCCAAACGTCATAAAAAAACCAAAAGCAGAAAGACACATGAGCACCCATGTATTTCCAACACCCAGAGGGAGAAAAATGAAGACAAACGCAGATACCCAGGGAGGCAGAAGAGCATTGCCCATAGCAGGTGGTAGAATTACCTTTCCAACACCTGCGGAAGGTTCTCCATCTGGTCTGGGACGAGGTATGGCCACATTCACCAAATTACCTGCAAAACAAGTATCATTAGAACGAAGAAAAGAGCTTAGATTTTGAAATCTAGGTGAAGATATAAGGCTTTGGAAACTTCTTTCTGAATGTTAGGCCCGATTCTTTAAGCAGAATGTGGAACAAGAAAAGGCTGTAAAATAGAGATACAGCACAAAGAAAGAACAAAAATATTAATATACTTTTGGCGAGTCAAAAACCTCAAAATAAGAGCAGAAATTAACAAGAACTATATAAACAGTTCTTACCAAATTTTCCGCCTTCTTGTCTCATATCCTCCAATATATCTTCATACTCCCCATCATCTTTAAGCTCATCCTCAGTAACTACTTGTGTTAGACATACCACTTTAGTAGCAAGTGCACCAAGTTGATACATAAGCTTCTGCAAAAGTTAAAAAGCCTTGGTAATTTAGACTTGAGGACATAATCGTAACAAGACAAATTAAAAAGAAGAAACCAATGTCACACATTCAATGAACCACATCTCAGTTAAAGTTCCAACTCACAGATGCAAAATAAAATAAAAGCGGAGATGACGCTGAAAAAAACTACTATGAATATACTCGAGAATATGTCAACAATGCTGCTATAATTCACGGAACTGAAATTGCAAGAATTAGCCAAAAAATTGAAATTGTAGAAAAACTTGACCATGCAAAAGGACTCCTCAACGATGAATGTAAAAACCTTTCACCTGCAGAGCTATCTGCTGCTGTGCATGCAACAAAACACTCTCCTGTTCAGGTTTTGGTTGGTTTGCACCCTGGTTAGCACGCCTAACAGTGAGAGTCTTGTCGCCCATTTTAATGCCATCGAGAGCTGCACAAGCTATATCCGTGACTGAGAGATCTTGATAAATGCAAAAAGCATAGCCTTTGGAATTTCCAGTCTCCCTGTCTTTCACTAGATCAAAACCCCTAAGAGGACCAAAAGATTCCAGCAGCTCCCTCACTTGCACTTCTGTAAAGTAATATGGTAATCCACCCACAAAAATGCGGTCAGGACCTTCAAGCCCACCAGCAGAACCCGGGGTTAAACCAACCGCACCAAGATTTAGGTTAGGATTAGGTTGGCTAGGACCAAGAGTTGCTGCAAGGGAGGGGTTGTAATCAATGGACCTCCTCACCTTCACAGGCGCTCCCTGCACAAAAATTCAAACTAGTTAACGTTTTGTCAATGTTGTAGATATATGAATGTCCTCGAAAAAAGGGGGCAGATCCACCGCAAGAAAAAATGTAGAATTATGTTAAAAATGTAATTGAACTTACCTCAAAGATAATGCCATCTAAGGCCATTGCATTGCTTGCCTCCTCAACATATCTCATTTCCACAAAAGCAAACTTCTTTTCATGGTTTATGTAAACATTGACAACAGCATCCCCTGTGCACATAAAAACAAAAGATGAAAATCAATACCATAATAGAAATGTGAACTAAAATAGTTATTAACTCAAGGGCTTAAAATTAAAGTCCTCCTACCTGGACCTGCAGTATTTCCTCCAATAGCAGCCATAACCTGGCTAAAAAAGGTCGCAAGCATCTATCCAACGAAAGCTTCACAAAAATTAACACATGAAGCACTACCTTCTGCAAGTGAAGTCTGAGTGTTCTTGAGCATCTATCCAACGATTGCTTTGTCCTCTCCATTTTCTTCCTTTTCCCCAGAAAAAAAAAAAGGAAGAACACCCAAGAAAGAACTCACGCCGATTCGAGCCTCGCCCCGCTATTCACAACAGCATAAAAAAAGGTCCAAAATTGCACGTCTATTCTCAAATTGGAGAACTGGGTCATTCATCAAACACTTGCAAAGCACCCTATCCTGACCCATTTACCCTATAAACTCACAAACATCATCTCCATTTCTCGATCAAGACTATACCCAATTCTAACGAAACAAGAGCAACGACAACCATTACAATAATCCGACGATATATCTATCAGTTGACACACGAACATACTCGAGAACTTCAATAAGAAGGTCACAAAATCAGAGTAGACGGAACGTACAAATCTCGGAATGGGACCGACGGAACGTATTAATCTCGGAATGGGAACGTACCAATCTCGGAATGGCTGGAAACTATTGAGGCCCTCCTCCCACAGGTAGCCGTCCCTCTCGACGGTGGTGATGTTGCCGCCGACGCGGTCCCTGGCCTCGGTGACGACCACGTCGGGGGCTCTGTCGCGGTGCTTCGTGGTGAGCGTCTAGGCGATGCAAAGCCCGTTGATCCCGCCCCCGACCACCACGCAATCAACCAGTCCCCCGCCGGCGGCCCTCGGCTGGGAGATCGCGGGGCCCTCGGCGACGGAGCACCTGATCCCGGCGGGCGCGCGGGAGGGCTTGTGGGAGCGGAACGGGCGGATGGCGACGGAGGAGGAGGCGACGGCGGCAGTGGCTGTGAGGGTGGCCATCATGGCTGGTGGAGGGGAGGAGGGAGCGACGGAGAGGTGTTTGGCGGAAGGGGGGGATCCGAGGAATAACAGAGAGAGAGAGAGAAAAATTGGGGTGAGGGCGGGCAAATTTGAGAGAGGGCGGGGAGCAAAATTAGGGAATTTTGCCACGGACAGAAGAGTTCGTCGCTAAACAAAGCCACGGACATAAAAAAATGAATTGTGGGCATTTTTATGAAATTCGTGGCTAAAATCCGTGGCAAATTGCCACGGATTTTAGCCACGAATTTCAAAAAAAAAAATGAATTGTGGGCATTTTTATGAAATTCGTGGCTAAAATCCGTGGCAAATTTGCCACGGAAAAAAAATTCGTCGCAAATTTCGTCGCAAATTAGCCACGAATTTTTTTTGTGGCAAATTCCGTCGCAAATTAGCCATGGATTTTTTTCCGTCGCAAAATTCGTCGCAAATTTGCGACGAATTTTTTTTTCGTCGGAAATTAGCGACGAAAAATTATTCGTCGCTAATTTGCGACGAAAAAAAAATTCGTTGCAAATTCCGTCGCTAATTTCCGTGGCTAAATCCTTGTTTTTTTGTAGTGATAGTGCGCTGTGCAAGTAGAAATGGATTTTCTGATTGAGGATGTTCATGGGCATTAGTTGACATTGAATATTTGAAATTAATGAAACTCAAGATGGTATAGCAATCTCAGGTTGTGGCAGAACTTATTTAACTGGAGTTTGGGAAGTACTAATTTTTGGTTACTAGTCTTGTGATCAAGGAATGTGTTCTATGGATTGATAAGAAATTTTTTGTAGATGTAGTAAAGTTGACTATACCGATTTGCAATTATATCCTAGAGATGGATGAGATTTGATGAATAGAGTATCCAAAGAGTATTTAGATAATCGATGACATTTGGTGTATTAGAAGAGTTTGGAGGAAGGAGCAACACTTGAGGGTTGTCTTATAGACTTACACGTGAAGAAAGTTGTTCGCTAAGTCAGTAAAATGCACTTTTGGCTTGATCTTATGGAGTTCTTAAGTCACGTATCTCAATTGAATAAAAGAAAGTTGAAGCAGTGATTAAGTGGGATCGCTCTAATGGTGTAACAGAGGTGACAAGTTTTCTTGGGGTAACTAGTTATTATAGGAGATTTGTGGAGAAGTTCTCCAAGGTTAGTAGTCCACTTTCTTGTCTAACTCAAAGTGAGTTAAACTGAATGGTCCAACTAGTATGGGTGAGGTTAGTGACTAAGCTTAAGTTAGAAGAAAATGGATGAGCTGTTCATATGGATTTTAAGTGTAGGAGTAACTTGGTGAAATAGAATATTGCAAAAGTTATGATCTTTGGAATCCTAGTATTTGATCTGTATAACGATAAGGATTTTAGGAGTGTTAAGTGACCAATGATATTCTAAGGCGTTTGAATATTATTTGCGAAGGTCACAAGCCATAATTTCTATCGAAGTAAATCTTTAGATTGAAAATAGTTGGGTTTCGATTATCGGTGTGAACGGGTGAATTTGGATGACAAAGTTTAAGTTATGATCTGTTAAATTAAATTATTTAATGATAATTCATGGTCATGATAAGTTATGATCTCTAGATAATAATTTGTTATTTTGAGAATTATGTCATGACGATTGGAAATAGGTCGTTATTTTCGGATTAGAGATGGATAATGTTATGGAAAAATGTTAGTACTTTGTGTGTGGCACTATTCAGGAGAGCTTTGCTTTTAAGTCGGGACAGAACGTCGTGAGTTATATATGTATGTATATGTATAAGCTATTAACTAACCACTGAGGAGTGACCATCGTTTTCTCTAGGAATGAAGAGGTGGAGGGTTTGAGTTGTAATTCTGGGGAAATGGAGGCTTTTGGTCCTATGGGTGGGCCCTTATAGGAATAAGGAGCTCATCTTGGACTAAGTATCAATAGTAAAAAAAAAATTGGGAGTATTAATACATTTTGCGGTGATATGCGTAAGATGAGAGTTGATCTTCGATGTTATAGGCTTGAACTGTCATGAGAAATTTACTTGTGGATATAGGTTGAACTAATATGTGTGGTCATTATGATTGTAGACTGTGAATTTCTGAGCAGTAGATTCTAATTTTAATCTGAAAAGAGTATTATTGAATTAGTAGACGTGATTAATTTCATATATGAGGTTTCTCTAAAAGGTCACTTGGAATGCTTAAACCGTTGACCTAAGGAATAAAAATCTTAGGTGATATTTCGAGGTTGATAATTTGAGATGCATCAAATTCGATGGAAATTAGATAGTGTCTTTATCTTGGTCAGTTAAGGAGTTAGAGACATTCCATTTTAAAAGATGATGTGTGGTATTCTCTATTAAGAATTGTGGATTAAAGAGAAGTTCTTATTTTGGAAATCTGTGATTTTAGAGACTGTAGGGTTCATTAACAGTAACAACGCAGCGGAATATAGAACCCTAGACAGGATCCATGCGTATATTGAAATCGAAAAGGAATTTCGATACGTACCTTTTGCAGATCAAAGAGAAATCAGCAACTGATTATGTCTGGATGAGCGCCCCAAGTGTTGCGCCTCTACCGGTATCCACACACACGAACGAAATTCTCCAACGATCCACGTGCTAGCAAAAGATCTTGAAGTTCCTTTTTCTTGAACGCCTTTTGCTTTTCGATACTCTATCGAAAAACCCTAGACAGAGAACGATTCTCTATCTATTTATACAACCTCATTATCTAGCGGAATTAAAAGAAGTGGGCCGGGCTATTTGGGCCCGCCAAACCGTCCACCTTCAATCATACGTTTAATCGTTATCTCATAATGCACACGAACGCATAGATAATTTAAATAGGAGAATAAATTAAAATCTACTTCTTAAGTAGATCAAGGCGCACAGACAATTTTAAATCCGTTCGCTATTGTGTGCGACCCTGTAGGTTCACTAAACATTAGCAGTGTACCCAAAACTCTTTTGGCCCACAAGTCATAAGCGGTCTCTAGCAAGACATTATGACTACCTAAGTATAGTAAAGGTCGATTTCCGACACAACCTAATCCATAACTAATATTAGAGTATCAACCTTGATTGATTCCTAGGGCAGACCACTAACAATCTCCCACTTGCACTAGAACCAATCATATAAACTAAGTCTCTTTTGTCACTTGATTTCCGAGTTAAGCATAAAGCAGGACAAGTGTCATCCTTATATAGCTTAAACTCATTTTTCCGATACCGCAGTTAGACTGTCAAAACAAGCAGTTGACTCTTCAACTCACTTGAGCATGGCCATGCATTTCACATTCTCAACTCTACGGGAGGCCAGGAAATCATACCCTCGTTATCTGAGAGGGACAAATCCCATCTTGTCTACTCACATCACTCAGCACACTTCATGACATACCCAGCCATTACCTTTATAATCACCTGTTACGGCTGACGTTTGGCAACGTTAAAGCACGCCAATCCACGTCTAGGAAACCATGGTAGACTCAGGTCAAAGGACTATACTCTATAGCTGTGATGAGAAATACTGATGACATTATATAACAATCCTACAGTATTCTCATAACGGGGCAGTCTAATACAATGTTCTCCAACATGTATTCCATGTGATCAACTTTATATCTCTATATTCATGACCCGTGAAACTTGGTCATCAGTTGACTCACATGCTAGTCTCAAATGCCATTTGCGTCCCAATGCACAATGGCAAATTGACTAGGGACATTTAGAACATTAATATCCACTCTATCAATAGAATTTCACGATCAAATCACGTATTTGATTATGTATTAAGGATATTCAATATTCAGGGGATAAAGATTTCGCATTCAACTATATACTCAAATTAAATCGAAATCAAATATAATATATATTTTATTAATGAACAATGAAAATGTATATCACATATACTCCCACTCACATCAAGACCAATCACTAATGTGTCTAAGGCCTAAAGCGTTACAATGACGCTCATGCTTAGGTTGTGGAAGAGCCTTCGTCAACGGATCAGCTGTATTCAACTCCGTTGCAACTTTGCACATCTTAACATCACCTCTTTCAATGAATTCCTGAATGAGATGATACTTCCTGAGTATGTGTTTGGTCTTCTGATGAGACCTAGGTTCTTTACCCAAAGCTATGGCCCCATTGCTGTCACAATAGAGGTCCACTGGAATCGAACTAGTGGGACTGATTCCCAGTTCTTCTATGAACTTTCGAATCCAAACAGCTTCCTTTGATGCTTCTGAAGCAGCAATATACTCAGCTTCTGTTGTAGAATCTGCAAGAGTTTCCTGCTTGGAACTTTTCCAGCACACCGCTCCACCATTCACGCAAAAGACAAAACCTGACTGCGATCGTAGGTCGTCTTTGTTGGTTTGGAAACTAGCATCAGTGTAACCATTTACAGTGATCTGTTCCTCACCTCCATAGACTAAGAATAAATCCTTAGTTCTTCTCAAGTACTTAAGGATATTCTTGACAGCAATCCAGTGAGGTTCCCCTGGATCTGACTGGTATCTACTTGTCATGCTCAATGCATAAGCAACGTCAGGACGAGTGCATAACATAGCATACATGATGGATCCCACAGCTGATGCATAAGGAATCCTACTCATGCGGTCTCGCTCATCTTGTGTTGAAGGACACTGAGTCTTGCTAAGACTTATGCCATGTGTCATTGGGAGAAAACCTTTCTTGGAATCTTGCATATTAAACCTATTGATGACTTTGTCAACATATGTACTTTGACTCAGTCCAATAAGTCTCTTAGATCTATCTCTATAGATCCTGATCCTCAAGATATAGTTTGCTTCTCCCATGTCCTTCATGGAGAAAAATTTTCCTAGCGATGTCTTAACTGACTGAAGCATAGGAATGTCGTTTCCAATGAGTAGTATGTCATCCACATACAACACTAGAAACACAATTGCACTCCCACTAGACTTCTTGTATACACAAGCTTCTTCTTTGTTTCTGATGAAGCCAAACTCTTTGACAGTTTCATCGAAACGAAT